TAAAAAGAAATGTTTTTTTCAGACTAGAGACCATTATTCTGTATGAATGCCATTAGGACTCCACAAACATCATCCATCTGTTTAGCTTTGTAAACAGAAAAAAAGAAACATGATTTTTTTTTTCGTCAGTCAGGCATAATGCATTAATATAACAGTATGTTGCCCAGCCCATCACTAACATTGAGATCAATGTCCCTTGACAATCAACAGTTCTCCTTGTTAATTATTAACGTTAGTCACGCTCTACTGATATTGATGCATTATGAAATGCAAATGGGTCAATGACAAATAAGGATAGGCTACGTCTTTACAAAATCTATTTTAAAAAATTTTCAAGCGGAAAGTTCTTGAAGTGTAATTGTTAGTCGTTCAACTAATCTCAAAAGTAAAGGTCCGTATCATATTACGTTTTTGAGTCATGGATCGGATCATTTATCCGATCAGCAAGAAAAAAACAAATTGGGGGCAAATGTAACTTTGCCTTCCATTTATTAAAATGACTAAAGTACACTTTAATAGGCTTTGATACCACCACAGCAAAACTATTTGCCTAACCATTGAAGTTCAAACATTATTAAAGGCAATACACTAATTACAAGCATAGATAAATATAACAAAGTTACAAATAAAGTAAGGTTTAATTGTAGTATTCAAGTACAGAATTGTAGTATTCAAATACATAGATGTAATATTTTGGGCCTAAACACTAATGTTCACTGTATACGTTTATATTAATCCTTGTTAAAGCTCTGTTCTGTTGTATGATTTACATTGACAGACGCAGTAGGTATTTATAGGCTGCTGTCTCTTTAAGAGTGAATGCACGGATCCAATAATGATACACATCCGATTCTTTTTTTTTTTTTTAAATGTAAAATTGGATTTTCACTAAAATATGATTATATCATTTTATGTAATTAACTAACCTTGATTACTTTTATTTTTTTATTTTTTTAAATGCATGACAACAAAAATACTTCCTGCATAGTGGTTAAACTGTGATGACTTATTTTAAAATTATTATTTTTTTATTTAGCCAAATATTTACACTACCATCCAAACGTTTGTTTTTAATTAATTAAATTAATCATTTTGATAATAAAATTGTTTCTTGAGCACCAAATCAACATATTACAATGATTTCTGAAGGCTCATATAACACTGACAAATGTTGAAGTTTAGCCATACAGGAATAAATGAAATTTGATTCAATGACAAGACAATGAGTGTTCAATGAGTGTGTCTTGTCATTGACTCAAATGCAAATACATTGTTACAATAAGGAAATGGGTATTTATTGCTGTAGTTTTGCATTATACAACCTTAATCAGGGTGGGTCAGGTCTAAAATAAATACTTTCTCCATTAGGTTATACATTAGCAGTGACATGTTCTTAAGTTTTGAAGCTAACGATACATTTTAAAGGAATAGAACATGAATATTGCCATCATTTATTCACCCTTATGTTGTTTCAAAACCATTTTGACTTTCTGTCTTCTGTAGAGACTAGAGCTTTCAGAAAAAAAAAAAAAGATGCAAAAGCGTCTTAAATGTATACCATTTGTGCTCTATATTCCAAGTTCTTCAGAGTTCAAGTAAAACATTTGTTTTGGGTTGACATGAGGTTGAGGAAATGACAATTTACATTTTTTTAAGTGAACTATCCCTTTAATATCAACCTTTTCCTTCAACGTATTTTATGGATGCAAATAAAGTCAGTGTTGACACTGAGAGAACACTGTCAGTGCACATTTTGAAGTGCGACTACTTTGAATATTGCATTATTTACCCTGGAGGCATTTCAGATTATGAGCACGATGTCAGAATAGGGTGGATATTTTATTAGACAAGAAGTTTGGGAATTCATCTTTTTTTGCTTTCAAGTAGGCTGAGAATCAAGGAAAATGTCAGATGCTTTAATGTTTAGGCAGAGCAGGTCACATGACTGTTTTTTTTTTTACTCATCACATGACCATCACATGGTTGGATACACATGCAACCCTCTAGGCCATCCATCATGTCTCTCCACTGCAGAGAGATAGAGATACAGACTGGGTTGGTCTAGATTGGAAATGAGTCCTTCAGATCTCTCATTTCTCCTGTCAAATGTGCTTGTTGGCATCGGGGAGTGTAGGGTAAACCCAACAGTGTTTGGTTACCCTGTCGTAGGGCGATAACACCATCACACATCAAGTCCAAGTCGTCTTCTGGCTTTGATCGTTCACTTGAGCCTCGTGGACGTGTAAACTTTCAGCGCCGTCATGCTCCACACAGGCGTTTTGTGTTGGCTCTGAAAAGTCTTTTGTTGTCACGTGGCCAAGCCTTTGTGCAGGTTTAAATGGTGGATGTTATCTGTAAAAGAGTGGGCATTCTGTTGACCACCCATGCTCACTGTGCACTGCAGCATATTTTTACAATCCCACTTCAAAAGGCTGCGTATGCACTAATATCGGCTTGGCAATTTGTTGGGCAGAGTGTAATTACTTTTTTGTCTTTGAAATGGGTTGTAGAGAGGGGTGGAAGTGGCCTTTTCATTTAAGTATGTCTAGAAGTGGTTTCTATGAAAGCTTGTGCTCGAAAAGAAATAAAAAAGCTAAGTATCTCAAAATTCAAACCTTTTCCTTACGATTGTGAGTTTGTATATCACAGTTCCGAGTTCATATCTAAACTCGTCGTAACTGGGAAGGGGAAAAAAGTCAGAATATTGAGAGTCACAATTATAAACTCGTGATTTTGAGGACAAAAGTCAGAATTGTGAGAAATAAACCCACAGTTGTAATGGGAAATAAATGAGTTGTGAAATATAAAGTTGCAGTTATGTTTGTTTTTTGTTTTTTTTGTTTTTTTATTCTGTGGCAAAACCAGCTTCCATGGTTTTCTCTTTCATTTGATTCCAGAAAACATTAAGTTCACTTTTAAAAAAACTTTTGCTGATAATTTACTCACCCCCATGTCATCCAAGATGTCCATGTCTTTCTTTCTTCAGTAGAAAAGACAATAAGAAATTAATGATTTTGATGAAAACATTCTAGGATTTTTCTCCATATAATGCACTTTACTGGTAACCAAACAGTTCAAGGTCCAAAAGACAGTTTCAGTGCAAACTGCAAATTGTTACAACGGCTTTAAACAATTCCAGACGATTCAAGCGAAACAAACTTGTTTATCAAAATGAACAAATCTTTTTCGTGTGATTTGGTTCATTCAACGAACAAAATGAACAAATTGACTCGGAAAAAGATTTCTTCATTTTGATGAGCGAGTTCGAACAGGAGAGTCACGAACGCACATCACAGAACAGAGCAAGGCGACCATTTGAGCTTATAAAACTTAAATTTTTTTTTTTTAAATGAGCGATCGTTTCGCTTGATAAGACCCTTATTCATTGTCTGGAATCGTTTAAAGCCCTTTGAACAGTTTGCAGTTTGCACTGAAACTCTCATTTGGACCTTGAACCGTTTGTTTACCAGTAAAGTCCATGTAAAAAAATGCTGGAACGTTTTCATCAAAAACCTTAATTTCTTTTCGACTGAAGAAAGAATGACATGGACATCTTGGATGACATGGGGGTGAGTAAATTATCAGCAAAAAATATTTTAAAAGTGAACTACTCCTTTAAGATGATCTATACCCATTCCGATCTAATTCCCAGTGGAGAGAGGCTGCATTTGTCCTCCTTTGCCGTCTGTGGGAGGTTTCATGAATGGCATGATAAGCTGCAGCCCTGAATGAGTCTCACAGTGTCTGTGGCGAAGAGAAAGCCTTGAGGGATCCCGCTCTTGCTCTCGGAGCGCAGATGGCTGTGGAGCCCAGCCAAAGAGCTAATAATGCACAGGATATCAATGCGTGTGTCTCACTCTCACCATGTCAGCTCTGAATGCTAACGCACTGAGCAGCGGCACCTTAGCATCACACAAGTTCACAGAGTCAGATGGTTCTCTGGAAACAGCGGCTTTTTCACTAGGTTAGCAGACCTTTTTTATATAATGTCACTAAATTGGAAACTGTGGCAGTGAGTTTAAAGGTTAACAACAGGACACAGAAGTTTTTTTTTTGGTCTTGTATTTGAGTCAATATTTTGTCATGCTATAGTGATTCATTTTCTTGTAGTACTACCACTAGTGGTAATACTAGTGGAACTATTATAATGACAGACTAATAATTTGTCAACATAAATAATACATAATTAATATACTTTTGTTGATGAGATTCACATTGGCGAGAAAATGCACAGCCAAAGAGAATTTTTATTTAATTTTTTTTACTTGCAATAATATATGCAATGGGATTTTTGACACAAGCTTTGTCACAATTTGCAAGTGATAACTTCTGAATATTATTTTTTGTGAATTCAGTAATACTAGTAATACAGTAAGATTTATTTAATCAAAAATGCACTAAAAACAGTAATATAGTGGATATTATTACAATTTAAAATAACAAAAGTAATTTATTCCTGTGACCTCAAAGCTGAATTTTCAGCATCATTACTCCAGTCTTCAGTGTCACATGATCCATCAGAAATAATTATATATGCTAATGTTCTGCTCAAGAAACCCTTTTTTTTATTAATATCATTGTCGAACATGTGCTGCTTCGTATTTTTTGTGGAAACATGATCAATTTTTTCTTTTTCTTTTTTGACCGTAAGAATTTTATTGTTTCTTTTAACAATTTTAAATGTATTTTGCTGTCGCATTTGGTCAATTTAATGCATCCTTGCTGAATAAAAGTAATAATTCATTTAAAAAAGTATTGAATCATAGTGTCCGTCAACCACCATGTTCTCTTTATGTCAGTATCATCATCTGTCGATGCATAACCCATCAGTTCACCACTAGTTTGGACACGGTGTGTATGCCATTTGAAGAAATCTGGATTGGAAGGGTTCTAACAAATGTTAACAAGCCAAAACGGTTAGAGTTATTTAGGGCACGATATAAACGCTGTGACAGTTTGAATTATTAACACATTGACCTCCTTCAACTCTCTCTCACCAGATCTGATCCAGTGCACCAATGAGATGAATGTGAACATCCCTCAGCTGGCTGATACGCTGTTCGAGCGCACCACCAACACCAGCTGGGTGGTCGTGTTTAAATCTCTCATCTCCACACACCACATTATGGTCTATGGCAATGAGGTCAGACACCCTCCCACACACACACACACACACACACACACTTTTGTACACACTCACAACTTTTAGCCTGAATTCTCTAACCCGATGAACCCCCGAATAGCTCACCCGAAAATTTTAAATCTGTCTTGTGATTCCAAACTCATACAGTTTGTTTTATTTTATTTATTTATTATTTTCTCTATTTTTTTACTGTAATTACTTTATTATTTTAGTTTGAGAATGCTTCTAGAACATAGTGAATTAGAACTGGGGCTTTTAGTCTCAAACATGACAATGCTTCCGTGTCATTTTTGATGCTTTTCAACCTTAGTCAACATTGAAAAAGGGGTCAGGATTCACCCTTTGTGTTCATGGAAGAAAGTAAGTCAAGTTTGAAATGACATGAGTAATTAATAACTGAATTTTTTAATTTTTGGGTGAACTAATTTTCATCAGTGTTACTGTTAGATGATAGTTTTGTTTTAGGGCTTTAGCTAAAGCATTTAAACAGCACATGTGCCAGTGTCAATCATTTTTACCTTTGTGCCTTCGACAATACTATTTATTTGTATAGTGACTAACTTCAGAATAAATTGTAACATGACTTTGTTGTTCATGTTGACAGAGATTTGTACAATATCTGGCCTCCAGGAACACATTATTCAACCTCAGTAATTTTTTGGACAAAAGCGGGTTACAAGGTAGGTGCTTTCAGCCCGACACCTCATTACTCATTCTGTTTTTCCAAACACATTGCAGCTGCGTTATCTATTTTCATGAGCAACCAAACCTATGAAAAATGCAGAAATGATGAATAATTGAGGAGCTGACAGAACACGGGCTGCCTTTTCACAGTTCTATCAGTTTAGTGTTAGTCATGGTCAGTCATGGTTAGTCCTATTTCTCGCTCTTTCTGTCTTTCTATCTGCTCCTCTCTCCCTGAACTCGTTTTGGGACCTGCTCAGCAACATGGCCGACTTTCAACTTAAATAAAGCTCTAGTGGTTTTATTTACCTCTCTTGAACTCCCATTCAAATTAAAGGAGTAGTTCACTTTTAAAAAAACGTTTGCTGATAATTTACTCACCCCCATGTCATCCAAGATGTCCATGTCATTCTTTCTTCAGTCGAAAAGAAATTAAGGTTTTTATTGAAAACATTCCATCATTTTTCTTCATATAATGCACTTCAGTGGGAGCCAAATGGTTCAAGGTCCAAAAGACACTTTCAGTGCAAACTGTTCAAAGGGCTTTAAACGATTCCAGATGATGAATAAGGGTCATATCAAGCGAAATGATTGCTCATTTAAAATACAAATAACAAAGTTAAGTTTTATAAGCTCAAATGCTCGCCTTGCTCTGTTCTGTGATGCACGTTCGTGACTCTCCTGTTCGAACTCGTTCATCAAACGAATATTTTTCCGAGTCATTTGGTTCATTCAACAAACAAAATGAAGGAATTGACTCGGAAAGATTCGTTCATTTTGATGAACGAGTTTGAATAGGAGAGTCAAGAACGCGCATTGACTGAAAAAAGAAAGAAAGACATGGACATCTTGGATGACATGGGAGTGAGTAAATTATCAGCAAAAGTTTTTTGAAAAGTGAACTATTCATTTAATGGTTGAATAAAGTCTTTATTTTAGTTTTTTTGATAAACTTGATGTTGACCCACTGTAGTCACTTGGACTATTCGTCTTAACTAACGTTTCTTGGCCGGCTGATTATAGAAATTACCTAGTAGCCTGTGAAGGAGTCAGCCAGCTCTCAGATTTCATCAAAAAACATCTTAATGTGTGTTCTGAAGATGAACGAAATATCTCTGTTGCCTTGTTCTCATTTGCATAATTTTTGTAGAAGCTGTATTTGTAATAACATTGTGTTGTATCTTTTGGCTTGTGTTTGAGCTTATGACTAGCGGCACAGACTAGTACACATCACAATGACCTGTCATACTTAGTAGAGTCTGATAAAGCTTATGGGTTCTAGGCTGTGTCATGCATTATACTAACCCTGTGCAAACAGGAAAGTTTTTTTTCCTCTTAGCAATAAAAATGAGTCACAATCATCCTGAAATATTGTGCTGAGGATTCAACTAAAACATCAAAGACTCGCATTTTTAAATGTATAGAATCAGAACGCAAGAATATAGTTTGCTGTATGACTACGTTCAACTACCCGAGGGTCGCTGTGAACTCGAGACAACATGTTCTGTTCTTCGTGCAGGATATGACATGTCCACCTTCATCCGGAGGTACAGCCGCTACCTGAACGAAAAGGCAGTCTCATACAGACAAGTGGCCTTTGACTTCACAAAAGTAAAACGAGGGTAAGTCTATTTTCTAATTATTGAAGGCAAAGTTTACCCAAAAATGAGAACTCTACTGATTTGTGTGCTTGTCGTTTTTGTTAAAGGGCTGACGGTGTAATGAGAACTATGAACACAGAGAAGCTCCTAAAGACCATGCCCATTATCCAAAACCAGATGGATGCACTCCTCGACTTCAACGTGAGTTTATGATGACAACAGCTAGGCTTTGCTACATGTCCGCAAACAGCTTGACCTTTAGTCAGTGGTCTTTTCCACTTGTTTTTGTAGAATTATCTTGCAGAATAACCGTCCCAAATCAAATTGAGTTTGGCTTGTTTTGTGTCTGCAGGTAAATGCCAATGAGCTCACAAACGGGGTCATTAACGCCGCGTTCATGCTTCTGTTTAAAGACGCCATCCGTCTGTTTGCAGCCTATAATGAAGGGATCATCAACCTGCTTGGTGAGCTGTTATCCTACTTGAGCTTTCAAAACTCACTGTGGGCTGCCCTACATATTGGCTTTTAGCAGTTATCTCTGCTGTTGGTTCCTGTTTCAGAGACCTTTAAACTCACAATATCAACCCACTCATCAACAGCTGCATAGGACTCTGACCCGACACGTCACTCAGTTTTATGACGGCTTGTTTATCGCCTGGGAGTTTTAGCTCATTAAACAAACCCTTCATGTACATATCGTTAGTCTCAGAATGAATTTTTTGAGCCAAGTAAGATCAACATTACTGTTTAGTGCAGTAAAACTGAGCAAATTTCAGCTTGAAGCGATGATTAGCTATAGAGTGAGATTGGAATTGAAACTTGGATCATTTGATGTTGAGAACCCAGAATTTAATAATGAAACATTGAAGTAGGATTGCTAAGTAATTAAAATGAGATGACTGAAATGAAAAAAGCAATCCTTGTAACTTAAGAATATTAATAATAAAAAAAATTGACGATTAACAAATAATTTATTTTATTCATTAGACAATTACAGGTATATTTCAGGTGAATGGGTTCCGAACAGAAACTGTGGACCGAGTCAACTAAAGTGCAGCAAAAAGAGATCTGAGTCCATTTTCAAATTCAGCAATAATGTGAATGCAAAAAGATTTTTGTACGTTTGTGTCTGCAAAAGCGGTTTTGTTCAGTTTCTATTAATTCAGAGCCAAAAGACATTGCTTTCTAGTTAAGTGTTTGCGAGGCCTGCTTTTTTATTGATTTAATTCTGCCTTATTTTGTATGTATGATATCTAAGCAGCAGCAATATGACATTATCACACTGCAGTTCAAATCGCTACTGCAGTGTTTATTAAAATAGCAGCCCTACTTAGAGTGTTTGTGTTGGGTGGCTCTATACAGTGGCTTCGGCATTTGTTGGCTTCGTTCAGTGGTTGCATGTTGGAAGAGAGTTTCTGTGAGAGACTGACACACTAGTGAGAGCTGCTTCGGGTCATGTTGTGATGATGACAGATGCCAAGCATAACTCGGTCTAGTGAAGTCACAGAGTGAAGCAAGCAAGCCCCCTGATAATGTGGTGGGAAATGGAAAACTATCAAAAAATTTGACTTTGTGGGAAAGAGGTGGGAACTGGCGAACATTCAACTAGGGTTGCAACCAACGATTATTTTGATTAATCGGATAAATTCCACTTGATTTTTGTTTATTATAACTAAATAAAACCCTAAATCCGGGTTGTGGCGAGCAGGACGAGGACGTGAGAGATGTGAGACCGGTGTGAAATCACTAATATCGATATTTGCACTGTTTTTAATGATAATTGCTGATGGCAAGTTGACAACCATGATTAATGTAAAAAAAATTATATCTAACATATGTTTTAATTAGGGATGTCCCGATCCGATCCACGGCATCGGTATCGCGCCGATACCGGCCCAGAACGCTAGATCGGAGATCGGAGGGGAGAAAAAAATATGAGCGATATCCAGTTTAGCGGCGCAGCCTGTCACGTGATGATTGTTGTGTTTACGCACACGCGCGCAGAGAATCACTCTCGCTTTGCGTGTCAAGAGCGAAACTGGCGCGCGTAAAGTTTGAAGCGAAATTTACGCACGTGACGCGCGTCAGAATCAAAATCCGTTGGCGGTCATTGTTTTTATGTCGACCGAGCATTCATCAAGAGAGTTACCGCTCTGTATTTACTCTGGATAGCAGAACAGCGGCGTGGGGATCATCGTCGCCGTATATTTGTGTCCACCGGACCCTTCGGAGCCGAACCGTTTGGCGAGTTTCACCATTTGCTCGCTCCAGGAGCTGCGCTGGATGACGGCCGCTGTCAGCGGTACTTCCGCCTGTCACGCGCCCAGTTTGATGACCTGTTGTCCCGCATCTGAGCGAGGATCACCCTCGCCCGGCCCCTCATCCATCTAATCTAGCTGTCATTTATTTTTGTTTTGATAATAAATAGAGCCAGCCTTCAAAAGTTATTAACCTGTCCTGTGATTTTTTTTCTCTCTCTCACGTCCAGACACGAATTTATGCACATATGTTGATTGTCTTTACAACATAATACTATTTCTAGATATGGAATGAATAACATTCAATACAAAATGAACATGTCTCCATATAGAAATAATGTTTTAAGTGATGAAACATTTGCTTTGTTGTGCATAATCCCACCATGCATTTAGTCATATTAACAAAATAATTTATTGAAGCATCCAGACACTTCACCACGTGAGCAAGCAGCTAGGCTCCTGATTGGTTAACGCGGCGCGAATTCACGCCAAAGTTCAGCCAACTTGACGCGCGAATGAGGCGTATTCGCGTCTTCCGCGCCGCGCTCCACGCCTCATTCGCGCCGCAGGAATTTTTCTTGCATTGACTTAACATTGAAATCATTCGCGCCTGACGCCCTATTCGCGTCCGGTGTGAACGTAGCATTAGTGCGTCGAAGTTGTGATAGCGCTGTCGGCTAACGCCAAATGCTACTATTTACATTCCATGGATGTTTATTCATATTGTTTTGGACTAAAAACTTCTTCAAATTGGATTGTATGGACGCTTTACAGTGAAACCAAACCATTTTTGTTGGAATGTGGACTAACAGATGGCTAATTGGTGAGTTTCTTCCAGTTTGTGTTGGTTTGTTTTGGCTGTTGGTGGTCTGACAAAGAGACAGATTGTGCCCGCTGTGTTGATTGTATCTTAAAATGGTTTACGTCGTTCGAATCACGAGTTTCTCAGCTTTCCAAAGATATGTATTATGTTTACTTTTGTGTTTGTTTTGTTTTGTCTTTCACAAAGTTAAACCTATAAACCACCCTGTGGGCCGTATACGGCACGTCGGACCACGAAAAAAAAAATATCGGACTAATATCGGTATCGACAAAAGCCAAAGGTGCGGCATCGGTATCGGTATCGGAAGTGAAAAAGTGGTATCGGGACATCCCTAGTTTTAATACAAATTTACACAGGCATGTGTTTCAGATGTGACGATATAAACTAAAAACATTTCAAATATATAGTTCATTTCATTTTTGTTTAAAATTAATTGAATTATAAGGATAAATTGATAAAATAAATATCAAGAGCTGTAGTAGATCACATTTGAAAAACAATTAAAACTTAACCTGATGCTCGAGACAATGCAGACATCCCAAATTTCCCGTAAGTTCCGGGAGTCACCCGCATATTGATAGCAGCTGTCTGATGCCTGCAAATTTGTTATAACTCACAGAATCAACAGAAGAGACTGTGCTCCAAACCGTCCGTGTAGCGCTCGCATGACATAGCGGTGAGGAGAGAGACCTTGCGTGTGTGTGTGTGTGTGCCTCATTGGCCTGTTTCAACCAATCACTAATAAACAATTACTGTGGCGTAAGCAGACCAACTTATCGATAATGACATTCGTTGACAACGATTTTCATAATCGATTATAATCGATTTTATCGATTAGTTGTTGCAGCCCTACATTTAACACACAATTTATTAATAAAATAAACAAATACAAAATGAAATTAAATGACGACGGATGACTGACGCATATAAAACGAACACAACACAAGTCCTGGCCTATCCTCTCTCAACCTTCACTGTCGTCGCTCCTCCTTTATGCTTCCGCTCCTCTGTGAGAGATACGAGAGCGGTGCATCGCGCAGGTCTGCTCATCATCAATCACACCACTGGCCTCGTGTCGCGTTCCCACGACCCTCGGCCTCGTCCTGCTCACCACACTGACTTCATACCTTTTCCCATCTGCAGAGAAGTACTTTGACATGAAGAAAGCCCAGTGTAAAGAAGGCCTGGACATCTATAAGAAATTCCTCACTCGAATGACGAGAATCTCAGAGTTTCTCAAAGTGGCAGAGGTAAGATGGTGTAAGCCAGCGTATGTGTATAAATATAAATAATGAGCCAATAGGCGTAGTGCGCACATTAAAAACTTTCCTGCTCATTACAGCAAGTGGGAATCGATCGAGGGGACATACCAGACCTGTCACAGGTGAGGACACATATATTGGCCTTGGTTTTGAGGAAAAAACTTACACTGACTGACTGTCTTCCCTTTCTGCCGATCGGCTACTTATCTGTCACTCTTCTTCCTGCTTGAGCTCCACAGCTAAACTTAGCACGGCTTCATTGGATTCACACGAGTGCGGGTTGTAGAACTCTCTAACCTGCAGTTACCTAGAAATCTTAATACTTAACATTAGTTGTACATGGAAAAGTCATCTGAGAGTTCTAGAACTGCAGCTAATTTGCTTGTGCAGTGCTGCTGCAAACCGCTGGTGCATGCGGACATCTCTGCATGACACTGTGGGGGAAACTATTCTAACTGTCCTTAATGCCTGATTCATACAGCACATAAAGGTGTGATACTGTACACAGCTTACAGGGTTGAGACAGTCAGGTCTAGGTTTAGGTTTGATTTCTTTTGTTTTCTGTTTCTTTTCAACAACTATGTTTTTACATGTTTGTGTGTCAAGGAGACTGTATTATAAAGAATGTTACTCATTTAGTAAGATTGCAGCAGGGCATAATCATTAATATTAAGTGGGACAGGTTCCTATTAGAGTTCATATTAGTTTTTCATTGGAGGATTTTTATATATATTGCAGTCAGATTTAAAAAAAAGGAAAATAATTTACGTAAAAAGAAAAAAACATTAACGATTGCAAGCTCTTTGGGTTTGTTTTTATTCTACCTACTATTTTGCAGTTTCTGAAATACTCTGAAAACACCTTTGTTAAACGACCACCTTTATATTCTGTATCTTTCCTTATCTTTCGTTTTCAGTTTACAGTTTGTGTAAGTACCTGCATCTCACTCTCTTCTCTCTGTTTCGAAGCCTTTGGTTTGTACCTTTGCATGCTATCTTTGTTTTTGTTCAGTAGTGATTCTCCAATTAGGGGGACATTCATATTTGTTTTATGTTTTTTGTGTCTGTAAAGAAAATGATAAAATGATATTTTTTATAATATAAATAAATAATTATAATGTACTGGCTTTCAGTTCATTCAGTATTTGTGAACAATTAATAATTTTTGTAATATTGATAATATAGCTAAACTGTACCCAATATTTCGTCATTACCACCATGCCAAACATTTTAGAAAACATTTGTTCAATAATAAATGTTCTATTTAGGTATAATGGAATGAAAAGTGATGAGAAACAAATATGATTCATTTTAAAATCTTAATCTGTGAGTAGCTTTTTGTTATTTTTTTCTTATTTTATAAATTTTCCTTGATATTTTGACGTATAAGAGGACTTTGGATAAATGAAGCAATGTAATAAAGAGTTTGCAAAGAAACGTTTGCTAAAAGAGAAAGCGGCCCACTGTATTGGATATGACGGCATCTATATTATATATTTGTATTTTTGTGTGCTATAACCTAAAAAAAATGTCATTACCGCTTTAAACTTTTTCTCCAAAATGTGACGCATCGAATTGTAACATCATTACCATGAAGTGCAACATGAAAAACTTTCAAAATCTAGTATTCATAGTTAGGTCTTTTCAGGACGTGATCATTTTAGATGCGTTGTTTAATTTGTCAAGATTTCATGTTGTTGAACGTGCCCCCAATTGAATGATCAACGCTGTGTGTTGTGTGTGCATATTTGTTCTGTGGACTGTGATTGTGTCCTGGCCTGTAAGATAATGCAATGTTTCCATTCCTCCAGGCCCCTAGTAGCCTTTTGGACGCCCTCGAGCAGCATTTGGCTTCATTAGAGGGGAAAAAGGTCAAAGACTCCACAGCTGCCAGCAGGTACAGTGATTTGCAAAGCAGTTAATTTTGAACTTTCTGTGAGGGGGTTGTTTCATATACTTCTAGGATAATCAGCCAACAGTGTTTAAACTAATTTGCACAGGAGGAATTTACAGGAATTTGATGACTTGCAGTTTGGATGTATTGAAGCTTTGCTAACATTGACCCTGGATTTCCACAAAAAGAGTCAAAGTTGGTTCCTGTAGCGGAAGCAGTAAAAATGTGCTCTGTGCCAATGCTAGTAGCGCTGAGGCCACCCTAAAAAATATTCTTGTTTGCCGTAACCCGACCGACCCTGTCAATTTAGGGCCGACCCAATTTTTTATTTTTTTTTTCCTTTTAGTCCGACCGACTTGCCGGTTGTAACCTGCGTTCAGACCGACCGATTTTTTTTTTAACTCTTCAAACTACTAATTCAAATTCAATAAAATAATATTAATTATATTTTAGTTAGTATTGTGAAAGATGCTTGTGTCTACATAGCCTACAAACGTAGGCTACGTTCTTTCTTTTAAATAAAAACCCGTGGCGTCATAGTCATCCGATTATGTTTACACCATTGGTTTAACATTACGCGTGTCACACTATGGCTTGTACGTTTGCTCGTTTCATTCAGTGTTCCCGCTTGGTACCCGGTATTAAAAGGGCAACGGGGCTGAATATCAACCATTTATATATATAATAATAATAATATTAAACAATTTGTCTGTGATGCATTTTGCTATTCGCAGTCCAGAAGAGAGAGAGCGATCTCTCACTCGGAGCCACAGCGCGCGCAGCACGACAGCCCTGCTTAATGAGTGACAATGAGAACAGAACGTGGTTACCTACACTTTAGATCTGGGATATTATTCTAATTGTATTTTAGATTTCCGCTTTCAAATATTATAAAAAGATGATATTTGAGATGAAACCATTACATACGCATTCTGTCTAGCGCAACTTCCTTCCCTTCACAGCGTTGCGCTGTCATTTCTTCCTAAAACCCAAACGTACCGTCAGAATCAGCACGATCGGTGCACTCTGTACTGTTGCTAAACTGCGGACGCGTTCAATCATTAAAAGAGCTATTAAAAGCACAAAAGTCTGCGCAAGAGACGCTGTTCGCGACGCGCGCTCTGAAATGCACTAAAACGAACGAGACAAGAAAAGTAGGCTATAGCCTCATTTTGGGCTTCATGTGCGCATCTAAACTATCAAATATGCATAAAATATAAAATGACCTGCTCTGAGATTCATTTAAACGCAGTTTATGTCTTAATTGGACGTAAATAGTTGGGAGAAAATGATGGTGCATCTATTACAGTAGAGTTCTGCATTCGGTCTTAAAGGGGCAGTAGTCTAATAAACGTGACGATTGAGCCAGTAATGCGAATCAAACAACAAAAGGCTGATAAAAATCACTCACAGCTCTTGAATGAATATCTTAAACTTTAATAAGCATTAATTTAACTATGATAAACTATGCAGTGTCATTTTACATTTGATTAATAAATTAAATTTCTTTTCAGACAGAGCAACAGACTTAACTGAAAAGCTAATTTTAGACCTTCCTGAAATTAAAGCACTGTGTATATAGGTTAATTTGTATCTTTGTTTAATTGTATTCTTTGTTTGACCATGTGTTTGTACTTGTTTTTGCCTATCTCATGTATATATGCACAACAAATAGATATTTTATACATTTTGTGACTGGCCTAAAATTAACACCTAGCGGTGGATGCACAGTTTGAAGACCCAGTCAGTGACGTCACAATATGCTTTTTTTTTAAAAAAAATTCACGATCACAATGACCAAAATTGTACTTTTTTTTTTACACTGAATCTTGAAAAAAAAAAATATAGACCTACCTACCGACCCTTTTTTTTAAAAAAATTGCTGTTACTGCAAACCAAAATATTTTTAAGGATGGCCTGATTCCCTCTAATGCAACCCTTGTGTATTCAACAGTGGCATGTTAACTGTATAAGGTCCTCTGTCTGTCTTTCCACTCAGAGCCAGTACGCTGTCCAATGCGGTGTCCTCCTTGGCCAACACGGGTATCTCTTTCACCAAAGTTGATGAGAGGGAAAAGCAGGCTGCTCTGGAGGAGGAACAGGCTCGATTAAAAGCACTTAAGGTACGTAACGACCATCTACGTCAGTTTATTATAAAACCTGATTATATTGGAGCATACACGATTGACAAGGCAATTAACCTGTTTGGTTTTACCAACACCAAGGAGCAGCGTTTGAAGGAACTGTCCAAGAAGCCCTCCACATCCTCCACGACTGCAGCATCTCCTGTTTCGACGGCGACGGGGACCATCAGTACCGCCCACGCCATTGACCTGTTCTCCACATCCAGTAGCTTTGCTAACAGGTAATAGTTTTATATATTTACAGATTGGGGTGAGTGCCTCAAACTGTTTTTTTTGTTTGTTTGTTTTTTCCCCCCAGCAGAAATGCTTTAAATTGATCGAAAGTGACAGTAAAATAGCTATAATGTTACACAAATTTCTGTCAGATAAATTTTGTTCTTTTGAACTTTATATCCATTAAAGAATCCTGAGAATACAATGCATCACAGTTTTCAGTAAAATATTAAGCGGCACTACTTTATCAATATTGATTAAAAAAATAATTTCTTGAAATCTGCATATTAGAATAATTTCTGAAGGATCACTTCACATGATTTTAAAGTGGAATATATTTTATATTGTTGTTTTTACTATATTTTTGATCAATTAAATGCAGCCTTGGTGAGCTGAAGACACTACATTCAAATACATTAAAGGGGTGATGAACTGAGAAATCAAATTTTCCTTGAGCTTTTGACATCTAAGAGGTCATCATATAAGAATATCCTGTAAGTTTCAGAACTGAAAACGTCCTTGTTAGTCCAATAAAAGCTTTTATTGACACCAGGTTTAGAAAACGACTAGTTTTTCAAAGTAGGGAACTATGACGACAAAGAGGATAAAACACCACCCCTGTAGAAGAAGATTAACGCCTACTTCAACACGGCCGTTAGCCCCGCCCACCGATTCGCGCGTTACACGCATAGCTAAATAACATAGGCCTACCTCGTGAAGACAAACCGGATCGAGCTACCGAGCAATAAACATGCCGTCATAAGTTGACCTCAGACAACAATACATTTTTTTTTCAAAAAACCCAGTTCATGACCCCTTTAAAAAAAAATCTCACTGACAACAAACTTTTGAGCAATTTATATGTAATGCATTTGTATGTATTATTGTCTACTTGTTGAATATAATTTGAATTGCTACACATCATTTGTATTATAATATAAATGGTAATTTTGACATATTTTATTTATTTATTTATTTTTATACTGTACAATTTAAAATGTCCCATTGTGAAATATTGGGATTGCAATTTATTTTGATTTTAAATAACAGCAAAGTTCAAATGCTTTTCAGCCAGTTAGATTGTGGCCAGAACTAATTGCTGTGTATTTGATGATGGATTCCACAGTCTTTCTGTTCGGATGAGACACGGCTGGTAGTGATTATTTTCCCAGTTGGTGCATGAGTGCACATGTGCAATCGTTTGGCATCAATCTTTAGCTTTCAGTGTTTTATTAGGGTTCCATGCAGGACTACACAGTGACGGCAAGTTCAACTCAGCAATTACGTTACAGGCGTATGTGCTTATAATGATGATGTCATCCAAAGAGGAACGGGGACATGCGTTATTAATGGTTCTTGCTAAGACGATCATTACCATTATACTTGCAGTTAGGGCTTTGTTTCAAATCAGATTAATCTCTGCTGTCGTGAAAAAAAAAGAAAGTTTAAAATCAGTCTCCAGTTCTCTTGTTTTTGCTGTAAGTGTATGAATTCCTGCCCAGACTGGATTTGGCTGTGAACGAGGTATTGATTGCATGTGAATTTCCCCTCAACTCCCTAAGTCTCCACTTTAAGCACTTCAAATCAACATGCCAAGTTTGTCTTTGCCATATAACTGTGAAATGCTTGGTGCTTCGACTGCCGTTTAATGGAAGACATTAATGTGATGCGTGTGTGTTTGTCTGGCTCCAGTGCTCCGAAGGTGCCGAACGATCTGTTGGACCTGCAGCCCGCGTTCCAGCCCTCCCTGCCTCTCTCCACCGGCCTGCCTTCAGCCAACACATGGGGAGGTGAGCGGGTCACACCACAGGAACTCACAGATCCGCATTAATATGTATCTCAAAGAAATCAAGCTTACATCAACAGCCTTCTCCTCTGAAGCCATGAATTTTCCCTCTGGATTTTTATCCTTTAGGAAAGAAACCGTGTTTTTGTTGCATGCATCTAAATAACATCTAAACTGTTAAATGAGGTGCTAATTTTTTAACCAAAAGAGCTGAATGGCTGTGATTAACATGATATTTAACCTGATGGCACTGGGGTAATATTGGTTTCCGATATTAGCCAGGCAGATCCAGAAATGTCCGCAGCTTTCAGTGTTTATTGAATTATACTACGCAAAACAGGCTCGGAAACTTTTCCAGATGGATTATCTTGATGTGAGTTGAAGCTCGTTGGAGTTTTATGCAGGCTTTACACTTTTCAACACCAGAGCGCTGTCATGTCCTACTGCATTTAAAGGAATATCTCACCTAAAAATAAAATAAATCTGTAATCATTTATTCATCCCTATGTTGTTCCAAACCCATATGACTCGATTCATTCTGTGGAACTCGAAATGAGGCATTTTAGATGGCTATCCTGGCCACACTTCTCCAAGATAATGGACTAAATCTAAAGTTGGGTTGTCGCACACAAAAAACTTCTTGTAAAAGTGAATCTTTCGACTTGAACATATTCCAAGTCTTGGAATAAAAATCCTTTAATATTAGGTTAACAGTGAAAATTATATTTAGAAGAGGTATACTTGGCTATTTATAGATGCGTTAAATTTCACATTGGATTTTGGGATATATATATTATATACAACATGAACTCAATATTTGATTATTTTTTTAAACTTTAATTAAATATTGTAGAAAATATAAGCTGCATTTCAGCTGTAAATTTGTACTTAATTGACAAAAATATGTAATCTGGTGTGTATTATTATTTTTTTTAATTAAAATATGTCAGGCTAATTGTTTACTTAAAAAAAATTTTTCTGGCTATTACAAAGTTTATCCCTAAAACCGTATTCTGGACAAATGTGGGCAAAATAGTTTTGATTTATTTTTTTCAAAAACTTCCCTTGATCTGAGCGGTACAATACATGGCTGCTTTTCCTAAGTTTGCCTCCTGAACACACATCATTTTGTTTGACTCAATTCTACAATTTTAAGTCGGTGAGGAAAAAAAAACTGGGGGCAAAAAAAAAAGGGCACTCATAGAAATGATTGGGAAAAACTAATTTAGAGCATTCTAAAATTAGACTAAATAAGACACCAGGTGACAGCAAAGTCACTTCAACTTTAGGTTTTAGCTCTAAAAACTTATTAAAATGATATTTTAATGTAGTTAAAAAAATAAAACATAAAAATAAGCATAATTTACATAGAAAATATGGTACTTTTTGAAGTAAATAAATTCAAAAATACCCCCAAAATAATAATAAAAAAAACACCTTAAATGGATAGACAACTTTATTGAAGACAGTGATATAACATTTATAATAAATAAAAATTAGGATCACACACCTGAGTCCTCTGTGCCCACATTTGTCCACAATTACATGATTAAGGGCTACAAAGTGAATACGGTTTGAGGGCTAAGTTGTACTACAATAATAATGATAATAACAAAAAAATGTTAATAACAATAATATGTATTTTTTTATTATTATTTACTACAATTTTAAAGCTGCAAATAAGGCTAAAGTTTTATTGGACCTTGTGCATAACCAGTAAAATAAATAAATAAATATGGATTTTACAGCTTTTAAAAATTTACAATAAATTAACAATAATAATGTTTTATATTGTGTGCATAAATGTGTATAGATTTAATCATTTTAGTACAACTTTAAAGCTGCAAATCACACTAAGGTTTGCTCAATGTATTTGATTGCCAGTCAAATACAATTTTATGCATTCTAATATTTGTCCTGATTCATTCCTGTCCATTTAGCTTAGATGCACGATTTATGTTACATATACATTACAACCTGTGTCATTCAGTCCAGTGCGATGGTAGTTTATTTACATCTGAAAGTATCCAAAGACCAAACAGACTCCACCTCATTTGTCTGTTAGTCTCTGTTTGCATGTTCTCTCTCTCTTTCTAACCTCTTCTTGTTATTTTCTGTTTCTGTCTTGTCTTTGGCCGTGTAGATCCTTTCATGTCTACAGAGGCTGTTGACGACTCCATTCCAAACTTAAATCCTTTCCTTACAAAACCTGTTGTTGATCCTGTCCATCTGCCTGTTGTGTCTTCAGATGCTGTTAGTTTTCCCTCTAGGACACCCAGTCATGAAATGTTCGGTGGTAAACGGCTGTTCTTTTCTCTCATGTAGTGCACGGTTTGCTTTCTTTCGCCCGCTGCTGCTAGTCTGTTTTCTCTCCTTTTTCATATTTTTTTTCCTGAATGCTCCACCACATCAAGTGTACAAAGACCAGCTGGTCAGTGACCCGAGTTAACCCTTAACATATCTGATACGTGTGTCTGGAGTTCATATCGGCTGTGTACTCAACCTAGTGAGCTGCCTACCTAGACAGTATTTTTAGATCTAACTCAAAACTTCAAATGCGCCCATAATGCCCAAAAAGGCTGTCTGAAAAGGCAGAGCTAAATAAAATACTGCATAAGTTGTATGCAGGGTATACTACTGAATGCATTGTTTTCATAAAAAATTAATTAAATTTCACATACTAATTTGTTAAATAGTTTGTAAAACACTCCAAGCATTAAATGTTTTATATAGAATATATAGTAACGTTATGACTTGACTTTAAGGGTCTTATTTTAACGATCTACTGTACAGACGTTGTGGACCCGCCTATAGGCACACATTACTAACTTGCTATTTAAATAACAAATAAAAAGACCAGCATTTAATTTGGGCGCACAAATGTGTGCAAATGCATTTGGTCTTTAAACAACGTGGCACAGGACGTGAAAAAGATAGTTGCGTCGGGCTGAATCTAGCAAAAAAACACTTGCTTCGCAGATGGCGCTGCATTGCGTCGGGTGTATGATAGGGCCCAATGTCTTAATTAATTGCTTTTTAGTTATCGAAAATGGGGAGAAAAGTAATTTCATGATTGGCAGATGTACAATATTTTCAATTCGTTGATACACAACAACGGCAGTGACAAGAAAATAACAAAAAAAATGGATCGTCAAACGCATTGCATTGTGGGAGACGTTGATTCTTGCAGTGTACTTGGGTTGTATACTGCATATTTTGGCAAGTGTAGATCATACTAAATTATAATTTATAATATTCTCATATGCAATACTGCAGAGATGGTAATAGAAGTATTCTTTTCTGAACCCAGCTTAGGTTTTGAAAAACAGCCAGTGTGTTTGTGAATGTGTGTATGGCTTTCTATGGTTGTCAAAGCAATAAAGGAAGTTTAGCTTCTGTGAGTTTGTTATATGCTGAGGACATTATTTATTATGTTCTTGAAGCGAACAATAACATATTTGAGAGCGTGACAGACAGATGTTTTGTTGCTACTGTAAAGCGTGTTTGTGTTTGTACAGCTGTAATATGGTGACTCGGCTTTTATGGTCAAGTAATGCTGATCTAATATGAATAAAAGAGTGTGATCGAGAGTGAGAATGGCTGTTATCAAGTACAAATTAACTGCTTAAAAGTATGTGCCCTATTTGTGTTTGGTCCTTTTTGCCCCCACTTAACCTCAAATAATCTCTTTTTATATGGTGATTTTTTTTTTTTTTCTTTATGGGTCAGTATGATGGTCTCTTGACCACCTTAGTCAAAAACCTGCTTGGTTGTGCTTTGCTGCCCTTTTCCTTTAGCCTTTTCGATTTCTCCCATCCTTAGAGTGTTAAGTTTTAAAGTTTTTCCCAAATGTCAATTTCATTTCTTGGTTCTCCAGATAATTACAATCCCTTTATTGATTCGAGCAGTTCGGTTGCGTCACCCGTCGAGCCCTCTGCTCGGATGGGCTGCTTCCTCTCAGGTACAGACGTCCCAGTGTGATTTTATGTTTTCTGACCTCAGGAAACATAGTGACATTTTTTTCCCCCGTGGGTTCCCCTCTGAGTGCTTTTTTTAACTCCCCCCAAAAAATTAACTTAAATATAGAGTATACAGGCTTTATATAATTTCTTTCCTGATATTAGTTTGGCTTCTTTATTACATTTTCCTGTCTCACTTGACTAATTTTCCAATTTCTGGCTATCCTGTGCTTTTATTCTGGGCCTGTCAGACTCCTTCTGCTCTCCGGCTGCCTACCCTAACACTCCTCTCTTCCACTCTGAGCCCTCCGCTGTAGCTGGACTATTCGGAGGTAGGTGTCGTTCCTCCAGCCTGTCTCTATCTTATTGTGTCCTACAGCTGTCTCCTGTCCTTTTTTGTTCCATTTGCTGGTGTGCTTTTGTTGAACTGGTAGGAACAGGTTGGAAGTTTAATTTCATTTCAACTTTAATTTGATTTCACATAGTTGTCAAGGCAACAACATTTTTTTTCATTTAATGTTTATATTTGATTTTGCATATTTAATTTAATTACACTAAATATCATAATTTATTTAATAAAAAAATTGAAAATAATTTACAATTTGTTTATTTTATTAGTTATTTTACCTCAAATAGCGCATAGTCATTTAGGATAGTAGTTGAAACTACAGGTACAATGAAGAAGGGGGATAAATGAGGAGCTTTTTTCAGACAGGATAGGTTGGCATGATGAAGTTGATGCTGTTGTTGGTTAAAGTTAAATAGCTGCTTTTTTGTTGTTGCTACCTGCTATAATCATATTGCGTGCTTAAAGGGATAGTTCACTTTGAAATTAAGTTTTGGTATGTTTTAGCTTACCTCAAGGGCGGTGTCTTTGTTTCCGCAGTTTGGATATTTTTAGGTTAAAGCGTACTTGTCTATCAGTCATAAAATGGAGGTCTATGGTCACCACCTCAAAGAGCATGCACAGAGAAGTCAAAATTATACATGATTTAATGACTTGTAAATGTAAGTACACATTGATGGCCTAAGACATGAAACGAGCGGTTTGTGTGAGAAAACGGTTTGTGCCCTCAGATCACTTGGACGTGGCTGTGGTTAAAAGAGGTAAAAACTATATAAATACTGTTCGTTTTCTCACACAAACCGCTCCTTTCGTGTCTTAGGCCATCAATGTGTACTAACATTAGGAGTCATTAAATCATGTATAATTTGGACTTCTCTGTGCATGCTCTTTTAGGTGGTGACCATAGACCTCCATTATATGACTGACAGACAAGAACGGTTTGACCTAAAAACATCACAATTAAAACTACTGTGGAAACCATTAATATAAATAAAAAAAAAAAAAAAAAGTAATTTCAAAGTGAACTATCCCTTTAACAGCTAATATTTTTGGAAGTCTCTCGGCTACAACAGAAATGATTAATTTAAATGAATGATGGCAATTATGCATTACACAAGAACTGGAAGAAAACATTAACCAGTTTAAAATGACACTTCTGGTATTTTTCCAGCCATAACGTGTAGGTGAACCAGCCTGTAGTTGTTTTTTTAGGTCTGACCTTGTTTCCTCTAACACAGGGTTCTCTGCACCTCCCGCCGCCCAGCCTCCCAGTTCGACAGGCCTTAATGTCGACTTTGACTCCGTGTTCGGCAATAAGTCGGCCGCCAACAGCACAGACTCGACTGGTAAGGGAGATGTAACCCAGTTCCTATGACTCACTCATTGCTTATCTCTCCACATGATGCTTCACATCCATCTCACAGCTGAAAGCCAATGTGTTTTGGGGACCCAGACCCTTTATGGAGTAGGTCTTTGAACCATGCTTCAGCTAGATGTGTGATTTTCATATGACAAGGGATCACAGTGTGATTAAGCCTTGATCTCTTTTGTGTCATGTTCTCAATACTGCATGTTTGGAACTTGCTTTTCAAACACGCATCTTACTACTCTGCACTGACTTCTCATAAAACAACCTTCTAGCATTAATTTGTCTTATAAATAAGTCTTAGTTTTGATATAAACCCATGATTGGTTTGAAATCAGGATATCAGTTGGTGCAGTGGTTAACACTCTAAAACATTGAGCCTTGATGCCAGGGTTCTTGCTATATTATCTGTGTCAAAATAAGACCACCATTAAATTGCACAGTCATGTTTTGGGATCTTCCTCATCCTGTCCTCTTTTTCTCCTCTCACTGTGTGGTTTGATCTGTTTGGGCCGCTGGCTTTGCATGGCACTGCATGTCTGGGTGAGTTGACTGCACATTTTTTTCACTTTCAGTCCTTCAACATTGCTCTGCCGCTTACTCCACCCAACCAACCTAATTGTGCTTTTTGTGTTTGTGTGTGTTGTCTGCGTCTTTTATCCCTCTCCCATTCCCTCTCCTCTGTTTGTTTAAGATGATATTTTAGGTGGCCTCCTGAAACCCACAGTGGCCTCTCCCAACCAGGGCCTGACGCCCAGCGCCCAAGCTGGCAAACTGGTTTCCGATGACTTGGATTCCTCTCTGGCCAACCTTGTGGGCAGTAAGCGTCCTGTTCTTGTTGCATCAAGCAAACTCTCTGTATTAGGGCTGCACGATTAATTGAAATAAAATTGGCTTGATGCTCATGATCCTGTTTTCAGTGTCTCAGAGCAGCTTGGTTTATAGTAATCAAAATCCCCCCAAATCATGCAGCCCTGTCTGTATTCTGGCTTTAATAATCAGGAACAGCAACTTTCATGCTATTTATTGATATAGGATGGTAAAAAAAGCATAGTCCTAACTAGTTTTTCTCTCTTTTATTGTATTTTTATAGATCTCGGTATTGGAAATGGAACAATGAAGAAGTATGAACATTTACGGTTCATCTCAATCTAAATTCATTGTGTTCTTCAAACTTTATCATGATTGTTTCTTCTGTTCCTCCTCAGTGACATCCACTGGATTCAACCCGGAGAGAAGAAGTTGACTGGAGGAACCAACTGGCAACCAAAGATGGCTCCGTCCACAACATGGAACCCTGCCACCATGGTGAGGAAACAATATGTGCTTTCTCTTACTCAAATGAAACAAAACTCATGCTACAGCTGTCATAAACCAATAGTCGGAGATCCTCCACTGATTCTGAAACATGGGCTCTGTTCCAAACCCTGATGAGCTGCCTCGCTGTCTACATGGGGAGCTAGCTTCTAAGCATTGTACATTAGCAAAAACTAATTTCATGAGACTAAAATGGCAGTCCAATGATTGGATGACGATGTATACAGACACAAAATGGCTAGCTAATATTTGTTCTGTAGTTGTACAATGATCGATAGAAACTTCTGTCTCTTTGAAACTCAGATTTTATTGTCATGTAATGGAACTATGACTTGATGCATTTCATTTACTTCATCTTTTTATCATTAACTGTGAATAACTTTGATGGTGCTCTTGTGTCATCTCTTGTTTAACAATTTCTGAATGGGTACAACTGTTATACTTTTCCATATACATACACTTTGAAGTTAGCATTTGGCTTAGCTAATAACTTGATACTTTAAACAAATGTTGGATAAAATAGTATTTGAATGAGTAGTACTAGTTTCAATCAGTACATTTCATTATTATTATTTTTATAATAGTTAAAGTTGTCACAATGCATTCTGGCATTGCCTTATTTCTGAAATGTATATGCAATTCTGCCTTTTTTTTGACCACATTGAAGAATCTTATGAAGCAACATGATTTTGCTGCCTACTTGTCTAGGTATGCTGCACATTAGCTTTTGGAACAGAGCTGTAATCCACCCTCAGAAACAGCCTGAATGTATTGTCTTGTCTGTGTTTACAATGTGTTTGTGTGAGCTCACAATGCGAGATGTTAGTTTGTTATATGTCCTCTAATTGTGTTTGTTGCGTTGTGTAACTGTTCTTGTCCGGGGGATAAACAGAACGGCATGATTTTCCCACCATACGTAAGTCTAATTGTTGAGTTGAACGTTTCTCTGAAACGCATGAGATTATTAACCCCACCGCACCACATTTGCTTTGGTCACAGTTTGACCTGTGTGTGTGTGTTTGAGTGAGTGACCAAAATTGCGCTGAAACCCATCAAAAGCTGATCTAACAAAATGTAATCTCGGCATGGCTGACAGCTTTCTTCCTCTTTTACCCTTTCCTCATCGGTTTCGTTTGTTTATCGCCATCAGCAAACAACTGTAGTCATTTTGGTGTGGATCAATGGGTTAGTGTTTCCAGTGCAGGGTTTACTGGACTGTGCAAAGTCCAATACAAGGTACGACCAACTGTTTGATTCTGATCCATAATGTGGCTTGGTAAACGTTCTGATGGAAACACTTCCACCAGAGATTTGTTTTCTTAAACAGGATATTGATGGATTTATAAGTACATCAGCATGATTTAGTCCCATTAAATCCTGCAGAGTTAAATGTTTCTCCTAAGAATGCAGTACAGCTGAACTGTTCGATTACCCTAATCTAGATACAAGTTTACATTTCCATGTTTACGTTTCACCGTTTGTATTACAATAAGATTCCACAACTCTGCCAGCATATTAACCTTGAGATTAATTTCAATCTGTTCTGTTTCAGTGTGATATACACAAAAGCACACAATGTTTAGTTCAATAGATTCACAACTGTGTTCAGAGAATTTGTAAAACTTTAAAACTCCCCAAAACAAGTATGCTCACTAAGGATGTGTTTATTTGATCAAACGTATAGTAAAACCATAATCTCAAATATTATTACAATTTAAAACCATTTAATATATATTTAACTTATTACAAAGTTGTTGTTTTTTTGCCATAACACATTACTTTTTAGTCTTCAGTGTCTCATGATCCTTCAGAAATCATTCTAACTTACAGATTTAGTGCTCCAGAAACATTTCTTATCAATGTTGAAAATTATTGTGATGTATATATATATATATATATATATATATATATATAAAAGGATTCCTTTACCCGTCACCCCCCTTTTTGAGAATGGGTGTTTAAATGCACTATTCACACTTAAATTGTTGTAATTCAAGAATGCTTTGGAATATATACTCAAGTTTGGTCTTGTTTAAATTAATATAAAGTTTAAAAGAACAGCACTTACTTGAAAAATATTTTTGTAAAAATATAGAAGCCTCTACTGTCGTTTTGTTTCTGTCGTGAAATTTCTTCATAAAGGGTTTAATGACATCAACTCAATGTCCCCTGCTTTTTCAGAAGTCATCAGTTCATGGGTAAATTACCCTGTGTTCGATAAAAAAGTTTAGTTAACAATTTATTGGTCATTTGGTCACCATCATTGAATTTCGGAGGCCGTTCAGAGGAGCGAAGCACCAGGGGAAATAATAGTGTGTCTGTGGCTACCGAAAGCCTCCTTGAGAATCTCACAGATCCTTCACAAAGAGCTTCTCTCTTCCACCAGAGCTCTGCACCTGCAACTAATCACTCTGCCTTCAAAGAGGTCACACACACATGCACACTTTTTCTCACTCTCTTCCTCTTTATCTCCTTGCCTATATTCCTGTTTTGATGCTCTGTGTGTAAAGACATCTTTAATGTTTCCCAGATGTGAGCGACTATGCAGAGAGAAACGTAAAATACATTTTGAAAAAGAGCATTCTGTTAGTCCACTTGCACAAAGTTGCCTTTGTTCACCGAGCGCCGTGTGTAGACGTGGAAACTGAGATGGCGTGTCTGGGGTAGTTGTGATCTCATGGCTGCACGAGTGGAAATTTCTCACTTAAGGTGTTCAGAAGAATCGCTCTTTCATGCTAAAGAAAAAAAAAGGTGATGTTTCACCTGTGGTATTTCTGTTCTAACATCGAATGTGTCCTCTTAGGCTCCCTCAGTCATGGCCTTTCCTGCCACGACGCCCACAGGAATGATGGGATACACAATGGTGAGTAGAAATTACTGCATTACTCACTCCATCAGTGTCAGAAGTATTATCTTTTGTACTCCTGTATATTCGGAGACTGCAGTGATGCTGTCGGTCCGCACCCGTGTAGTGTGGGTGTGCAGAACACAATAAAGGGCTCTAGAGCTCCAAGCACCTCTTCATTGAGTGCAGGTCAACGATACAGAGACTTTTTTTATTCATCACGTTTGTTGGTTTTTCTGCATTGCTTTCTCATCCATGAGCCCTTAGCTTTAAGAAAAAAACATGGGCATCATTGAGTGTTTTTCAAATGTTCTTGAAAACTTTTTCCCCAGTGTAAGCTTGGTCTAGTGTTTGTTTACTTATTTATTAAAGGGATACGTCACCTCTGGAAAGATGAATGTGTATTTACAATGAGTAATTTATGAAGAAGAAATGAGAAATTATTTTTGAATTTGGAGCTTTCTAGACTGAGAAAAGGCAGAAAATGTATTTTTGGCTTATGTGGATGAAAGACAACAACTCCCAGAATGCACTTGCTTCGCTGCCCTAGGAGGCCACGCCTACCTGTAACAGAGCGCAGTAGTTAAACAACAAGTCTAGGCTACTACAGACTTGTTTAACTACTACAAAAAAGATGGCTGACACTATGTGTACATTCTATGAGTGAGATCGGCCTCTATGGGCGGGTTGAGAACATGCGGGACAGCCCCTACTACTGACTGTAGTCTTTAGCCTCTGGCCAAAAAATCCTCCGATGACAAAAAATGGCGATTTTTGCGTCATCGGAGGATTTTTTCCAGGCAAAAAATACATAAATCTCTCGTCTCAGTGGGATATGAGAGTGGACGGCATGGTAATTTGAAAATACTACAGGTTTCTACTAATACAAGGCTTAATGCTATATCCTAAAGTATCCCTTTAAGCATAAGCGGGAACCAATGTTATAATTCTGGTGTAGCTACTTATTTAATTAAACTATACATTAAGTTTTATTTTTAATAAAACAATTTCATTAATTATGTTTTAAATTATCATTGAATTGTATTAAAGTATGAAAGAGATCCTGATGTAGCACCTAATAATTATTAATAATTTTACATTTGTCATTTTTATTTTTGATAAGAAATATTTATAATAATCACTATTCTTGTTGTTGTTATTATGAACTATAAAAATATATTTTAATTCAATAATTTATATTTTATATTTTAAATTATAATACAATTGAATGCATTGTTAGTTTTGTTATCATTTGCATCTAAATCCACTTGGACTGAAGAGGGCACATTAAGCTTTTATCTATAATCAACACTGAGTCTTTCCTTTCCTCTCTTCTTTTAGAGATACTTGATAATAGAGGTTGAGTAAGCCATACAGGTAAAGCAGCGCAGGCCATGGTTAATGGTTAAAAGAGAGGCACTTTGTCAATGACGCTTTTGCAATGATGCAATAACAGCATCTGCACTTACATAACTGCTATTATGACTCATACGTTTTAGATTCTCCTGTCCAAATCCTGCATTTACCTCAGTTTTTACCTAAGAGTTCGAACTAATATAGAAAAATATGAATTGCTCCAAAGAATCCCCCCCCCCCCCCTTTCTGTGGTTTCTGTGTGTAACTTTTCCTGTCTGCTGTGCGCTCTGTAGCTCAGGTGGAGTTAAACAGTAACTTTAGTCTGATCAGATGAGAACATTGAGTTCAGACAGGCTCACATTCCTCTTTGCTGAGTGTCAGTACTGTCAAACACAATGTGAACAGAGGAACTCTGTAAACCATCGGCATTTAAAGTTCCAGATGCTAACACTCTGTCCCATAAATTCATGACATTACAAAGTCATGATATTGCACATTGCTTTCTGTTTCTTTACCCCTTTAATGTTTAGTTTTATTTCCTTTCTAGGCTCCTCAAATGGGCTCCATGACCATGATGACACAGCCTACCATGATGTACACGCAGCCTGTGATGCGGCCGGCCAATCCCTTTGGCCCAATCTCAGGGGCACAGGTATAACCTCACACATAATAAGGTTACAAATCAAATTTGGAAGCCTTAAGGTGTGGTCAGGTTTACTGTTGTTGAGTTGGTGAATTTTCGTTGACAAAATCCAGTCATTTTTAAAGGAATTCACACAATCTGGATTTCCCCACACAGATTTTAAGTTGGTCATACAAATTTGCCACCCAAATTAAAGTGATTTCTGTGTGAGTTCTGATTCCTCACATAGATAACAGACAATATATTCCTTTAGCCCATGTATTAATTTTACAAATGTATTTACTTGAACCTCAAAGGCAATTTTTGGTGTAGACAGCAATTTTGGCAATGTGACCACACCTTAATCCAATCATATTTGCCCATTTTAGAGCACAGTAGTTATCCATAGGTCTCTGGAGTTTTGCATTTATCCAGCCCCATGATTCTTTTCGGAATAAAGCCATCAGCTCAACCCTGACTGATCACGCTCTATTCTAATAGAAGGCTTCTAGAGGCTTTATTCAGAATGTGCTGTTAGTTAGTTCATCCTCATGTGCCATCGCAGCACTGTTCTGAATATGAAAGCTAGCATGGTGGCCTTCACACATCTCTGGGGAAGTATATGTATTCCACAATCGGACCTAAATCTTAGCTCGAAATACATATGGTGCTCCCCGCCACTCCTGCTTCATTTCTGTAGTAGTGTTTGCACAGGAAATCAGTACCATGCTGCAGCCTTGCAGAACGAGAAGGATTTTAGTGGCTAGCAAACACCCTTTCTCTTTCTGAACCTCTTTTATTCTCTAGCCTGTCTGGCTCTGAATTTTCCTCGTGTGTGTGTGTGTGTGGCAGTCCTCGGACCCCTTCAATCTTTCTCATTCTTTCTAAACTAGCTCTCTACAGCCTCTAGTCCTTCCAGTTCAAGCCCTCTCAGAGCTCCGGGACAGGACCCTTTTGCACAGCTGTCTTTGAAGGATTTCCTTTAGAGCGTCTTTAGGTACAGCATGTCTGCTGTGTGTGTGTGAGATTGGCGCTTCTTGCTTTGTTATTGTTTCTATTGTCAAATACCCCTGTTTTTCTATGTGCTTCAATACTTAAAGGGGCACTTGACAACTTTTTCAACTTAATAAAACCGTTTAGAAATCATTTCAATGGTTTAAGAACCTGGGTCGGGTTGCACCAGCCGTTCGTAAATTCATTTTTAAATTGTAACGTAAAGTCCACGCGTTTATTCCGTTGCACCATTTGTTTGTAAGGTAGAACGTAGCTAGTAGTTCGTAAAGTAACGCGTAGTCGGATAATATGACGTTTAGCCTCGATGAATCGATAGCAGCTTTCAAATGCTGTGATTTTTCAGTTTATCCGTCATTCTAACTTCTTTTGCCTTACATTACTAATGGTAAAAATAAGTTTCCATTTAATACGATACTTGATCATGAATAACATAAATGTTTTTATATATACAGTAAATAACATTCAGAAACTGTATTTGCAATGAAATGAATAAGGATCAATAAATAAATATTGGTACAAAAGCAAGAAATTACGTTTATTGATTATGACTGATATTTGACATGGCACAACATGGACCGATGCACACACATGGAACGATGTAATACCCACTCTAGACATAGCTCCGCACGATAAAGTTGCCCAGCTCCGATAATAACAAATGCACATGAGCAGCGGTAGAAAGCTGGAGGAAGGTGCCGCAAGTGAGTTTTTTTTATGGCTGTTTTTATTTTTTATAGCTTGATGAGAAAACATGCGATGATGAAGAAATGGCTTTGAGTTGCCAAGTGCCCCTTTAAGATTTTAAGAAAAATAACTCTTGATATGTATTTAGAAATCATGCATGCTTTTGTTCTCCCTGGGATTTAAAGGGGTCATATCATCCAGAATTAAATATTTCAAGGTTGCAATGTAATGGAAGTAGCGACAGATATTTTCTTCAGTATTGTGACGATCTGAATGATCTCATTTTTCTTATCAAAAAAAAAAATGTAGGGTGGGGACTTGGTTCTGTGCATCGGTTGTTGTTTGGAGTGTGAGTTTGCAGGAGAGTTTAAGCCAAGTAATTGATTGGTGAAGTCTGGCATACATCATCAGAGAAACAAAAAATATAACCACATAAAATACCGATGTATGGTACCTTTATTTTGACACACTCCACATAAATAGACGCCTGACAACATTGACTGAACCCTTTGTCACAAAAGCACGTATTTGGCACGTTACGGCAACGCGAGTTTGTTTTATAGCAAAAACGACAAGCCCCGAAAAGTCTGTTTAGCAAATCAGTGCGCAGTATTCAGGTCAGGTGACAAGGCTGCTAGCCCTGCATCGAATCGTTTATCGTATCGTAGAATTTTTGGCAAATATTGTATCGCTGGCCGAGAGAATCGAGATCGTAACGTATCGTGATTAACTGTCCGATTTACACCCCTACTCAAAGCACATAATAATGAACATATACAAATTAAAGAGCACTGACTGCTGCAGATTCATTTTGGCGCTGATGGTGTTGCCTTTGAAACGCATAAATTCAAGTCCCTAACAGATCCGAGTATAACATCGCCGGGTTCCATCTCTTTCAAATTACTGTAGTTATGTGTGAACGCAGCATCAGCTGATTGTTTTGGTTCAGGAGGAACTTTAAAAGGCGGCTGCTGTTTTGTTTGTGGTGCTCTGTGACTTTACATCTGCCGTACTCTACATAGCATGAGCTAAGTGTACAGTAGATAATCTGGCTGTAAAGTACATGCGTACTGCGCTTATGATGATAATGTCGTTCACTGTACTCTATACGTGAAAATTGGAGTTTACTTTGTGCTTAAGAAAACATTGGTTATTTAATGCATTAGTCTCTTTTTTTTCAAATAAAATTGTAAAAAAATTGATATGACCCCTTTAAATTAATCTTTTTTTTAGAAGGTTATCTCGAGTTGCAGCCTCATATACTCATCTCATCATTGATTTGTTGCTTTACTCGACGCATTTGCATATTCAGTTCATTTTGTGACTCTAAAATCAGAATATTCAGTCAGTCATCCAACAAACATCCAAACATATTGTCCTGGACACTGTCACAATGGTTCTGTTATCATAATGTGTTATAAAATCAAATGTCAGAAGCAGAAACAAGTCCAAATGTCTGTTGACGGCATCAGTAAAATGCATTTCTCTGATTCCAGATGCAGTTCATGTAGGTGAAGGAGGATTGACGCTTCCCAAGGATGAATTCTACGGCAAATCTCAAACCTTTAATCTCTCTCCAGTTTGGAGTTTGGCACTTCAAGGAGAGTTCTGCCCCAGTACAAACCTGTACAGGAATCAGAGGGAGGGGTGGGAGGGGCATTATGGGATATGATGGGTGGGGTTGGGAGGGGTAAGACTTTGCCCAGATATGGAGGACACAGCACTCTCATTTTGTAATTTGTCTAACGCGGTAACAGTTACTGTACTGATATGGGTCTGTAACGAGAAACAAGGGTGTTGAAAGAGTGCAGGAATGTGGTGGGTTTTCACAAACACAGCTTCACTTTTTTTCCATGGAATGAAGAACCTCGGGATCGGGAAGTTGTCTTTAACCGATCATCAAGCAAGCATTACCTGATTTAACTATCTCCAATTACATCGGTTTCTATTATTTCTATTTTTTATGTTATGACATTTGCAGTAGACATTCCTTGTGTATTGTCTGTATTTATTTATGATTTTCCCTCTGAGGAATTTTTTCTTTTTTCTTTTAAGCTCCTCCTTAAGGGAGGTGTTTCAAATGATGCGTTCATATGGGTATGATTGGTTGTATAATTTGGATTTGAGTGACTGAATTATGATTGAGATATACACATATATACATACACATACATAATATAAAAAAATGGGGGGAAATGGACGCCTATAAACTGACTGATACAGCACTAAATATTCTCCGAAGCAGTTATATGTCTAGTGCAATTTCTTTGTTGCCCAAACGCTCACCGCCCTCCATTTGTAATGGACATAGGATAAAATATACCAATCATTATACCACATAGTCAGTTCTGTGCCCCGGGTGGGTGGTGGGGGAGTTGTGAGGGAGCATTTAGCAAAGCACTACATTTGTGATTCAGCGGCATTGCATTTGGGGAAGATCTGTATTGCTTTCTGCTTGGCATGTCATTATTTTACATTTCACAGTTATATGGCTGCCTTTTCAACCTGAATGTGCAGAGTCGCCTTTGTTTTCGGGCCACCCAAAAGCAGTTGCGTGAGTGTTTGTGGGTGCGAGTGTGTAAATGTGAGTGAGAAACGCAGGTTGCTATCGGTAATGGATGGGGTCGGTAGTGTCTAGCTGTAGGTCCTGTAGTGTGAGCAAAGGGGGCACTGTTGATCAGTGCTCAGTGTATATAAAACTGGCCCTGTCCTGTAGGGAAGTACACAAAGGTTGGTCTGAATATGGGGGCGATTTCTATCCATTGATTTTGCATATTTACTGCATCATCCCTGCAGATTATATTTTGTTTATATGACAACAACAAAAAATGAAGCGGTATTTGGGCAATTTTCAAATAAAGTGCATCTTCCACAGAGTGTTTCTTTTAATTATTGATTAGATTATTATTATTTTTTATATAATGTTGTTTTGTCTGTGTGTGTGTGTATAAAGTTTTTTGGAATCCAGGACAATTGTCATTGTATTTTAATTCTCTTACAACTTCTGAATTTCACAGGTGTTGTGTACAGATACATCTCATTCTGCAGACTGTGAAGCTGATTGCCGAAACGCTCTATTGATGATCTTTGTTGTAATCGGCCACTCTGCATTTTGCAACTGGTCAAAGGACATCTCCTCGCTCACATCCACTGGGTTGATCGGTGGTGGGTGCAGAGGGGATGCTTTACCGATCACGTGCAACAGTTTCCACCCCATCAAGTCCAGATGCATCGGCCTCTTAACACAAACACAAATGCAGCATGCTTAAAGCGGGTTTAAAGTTTGCCTTCATTAATAAGGGCATTGACTGTTCCCCATCTGTGCTCATTTCATCTATATGCTAGCCCATGATGCCTGGAACTGGCGGTGGGAAAATCAGACACAGTGTTTCCACAGGCCTTATCTCCCTTATGTGCCACTGAGAGGGCCTATTTAAGATTTGCTGCTTTTGGCAGAGAGCCTTTTTGGGTATTTTACCGGATAATATCTGCTATGAGGTGGTGTTATTAGTCATGCTTTGTTTATTGATGCCATCCCCACTCTGGATGTGACTAGGTGGGGTGAATACAGCTAGCAATGTCTGAATGCAGTATAATTTACCGTGAAAGTAGTCTGACTACTGTACATCTTACTGAGGTCAGGTGGGGTGGAAGGAGTTGTGCCATCACAGGCGGTAGCATCTCTTTCCTGTTGAGCCTCTTCAGCTGACGGCTGGAGGGAATACGGGGGTCTGTTGACCAATGCTGGAATAAAATTGACATGAGTGAATAAGTATTTGCTGTGTGTAGCTGTTGGCTCTATAGATGTGCACTCAGAGGCCATTAAGTTTAAACTGCTGAGGACATGAAGTTTTGAGCGCTAATGAAAACACCGCTGCCCTGTAATGTATTGTGTATAATGACGAGACTTCCTCTACTTTGAGAGCATTTAGAGAGGGCTGAAGAGTGGCAGTATTAAGAGAGCTATAGTCTCCCAAACTGGTAATACTGGACTGTGGTAGATTATTTAAAGTGTTGTACTTACATGATTACAATAAAAGTCTTATTGCTATGTTTAATTTTAGTGCTAATTAATGGAAATCCCAGACATAAAAGGTCTATTTGCTGTTGTCAATAGTGTACAGATAAATGAAGTATTGTTCACACAGAAGGCACATTTACACCAAGCAGCTTCTGTTGGTCAATGTGGTTAATCCATGTGACCAACTGGAAAGATTTCACCGTGACAGGAATCCACACAATTGGATTTTTTTTTTTTTTTTTTTTTTTTTTTTTTAATCGAAATGACTAGTTTTTTGTCGAGAAACGTTAACTGTGACTGCTCAGCAAAATTTCACAGGCAAAATCTAGTCATTTCAATATGAATCCGTGCGACTGGGATTGTGCAGCTCTCGCCAACAGAAAGCTTGATTTAAAAAAGTGACTTGTGCGAAAATCTTTGCGTTTGCTTGCAAAACTAAGAAAGACTACATTTCAATCCTTTTGTGAGCAAAATGCAGTTTCATATAGGAACTGCAATATTACAACCTCGTTGTCTTCATTGTGAAGTTTTTCTATTTCGTCCTCAAAAATAGGCTACTTCAAGGTGTTTATTAAACTCTTGTGGGCCTTAAAATATTTCTACATTCAAGATTACAAGCTTAACTAATCAGCCAACTGTTGCTATCCTAGGTTTGAGAAATTTCCATTACAATCAGCGTTGTCATGTCACATTTCTGTCTCCAGGCTAGAGTAACTTACTATCCTGGTGATGGGCTCAAAACAATCTGATGGCACAACTGAGCTCCCTTTATCAAATAAATGATGGATGAACAAAGATTTCAAATCACATATTTCCAAGAGACCGAGTTACTGCCATTTAAATGAATAGGAATGCTATTGAGGGCTTTCTCCGTGATGCTACTCTTCTGTACTGTTTTAGTATTTCTGGTGTTATGGTGCCATCTATTGGTTATAAGAAGGCAGTGCTGCTTAGATAAAAAGGACCAGGTGTTCAGTTAAGTCTTGTTTTTTATTCTTAGACTGAACACTGCTATTATTAGCGATGTTTTGGTTACCTGATGTATCCTCGAGGCTTATTTTCGTTATGTTCCTATCCATACTACGGGTGTCATGGGATCCAGCTCTAGCAGATTGTGCAAGAAATTCATCATCTTGGCTGAGGGAAACGAGAACACTAGTATGAATTCAAACTTTATGGTCTCACAGCTTTAAAATCAAACTCATACCTGATCAGAGGATCATCCATATAGCGAATTTTGAAAAGATTATCAATATGTTCCAGGTTTTCCTTTTCTAACTGCTGGACGGTGGATTCCAACACTGCGACCTTTTTAATATACAGGGGAACCTGACATGGGAGATTAGCTGCACTTTATAAATCTTTACATGCACGATAGGATGCAAGTATGATAAAACCTAAATCTAGACCACAACTGTTTAATCATCTGAACATGTTCTCTAATCAATGATTTACTGTGTTCATCAAGGTTTTCAGCAGCTCTCTGAAACTTAAAGACAGTTTCAGTACCTCAGAATATTACTAGACAATGTGTTGGCAGACTGCAGTACCTTAAGAGCAAGCTGATTTTTATCCTCGATTTTTGCTTCCGTTTGCTTGTTTTTTTCAACAGCTGCAGCCAGAGATTTCTGAAAATATTCTGATTTTTGTATTTATTAAATTATTATTTGTGTTATGTTATATAGCTGTGTTATAGTGGCTATTGCATACATCTACAAAATGTTAATAATTTCAAGTAGATGGATCATTTTATTAGTTCTGTCCTGAATAAGCTCTTTCACATAGCAGATGTTTACATGGTCCACAAACATTTTTATTCAATTTACAATAACCAGTTCAAAAGTTTTTTAGTGATAGTCAACTATCACTAAATAAATAAAAGTCATGGATCATCCAGATAATGTACTAAAATGCTTTTATAATGTAGCCTATCTCTTATTTGTCTTGTTGGCTAAATGTAAACATCTGTTATGTGAAAGATTATTTAGGGCGGTAATAGGCTGCATAATAATATTTTTATATATAAATGTGCCAATTTTATGAAAAATAATAAAATATTTAAAGATGGAAGACGCACCTGATAGCTCTTGGAAATTCATTTGTGCATAGGCAATCATTTTTTCCAGTTTTTCTATCTTTTGATGGTCTTTATTGCTGCCCTCGTTTTTGTACTGTAGCAATTCCTGCATGTCCGTCTGCAGTTCCTCCACTTGCACCTGCAGCCTTGCAAGTTTACTGCGTAGTTCTCTCTCACACAAATGCACACGCGACAAATATTACAACACAGCTTAAACCATACAAGAAAAAGCTCACTGAAGCACAGACATCTACATTACAACAATGTATAAAAGTAGCTAGTCAATACCAATACATGTTGTGCGCTATATTTCAAGTGATCTATGGCCTAGCTCAATATGTGGATCAGATCGTATGAACTGGATCAACTGTTTCGCTGAGAAGATCCAGCTCTTCGTCACTAGCTACTCATGAACACAACACAAAGCTATCATATTTGTCTTTAAATGTGAAATGTGGGGACATGATAAAACATTAGAATCAGTACTGTATACCTTATTAATAATGAATATATCAGGCAATGATGAGACCAGAATTTGAACGCAACATGCTAAATTGCATGTCAAGCATGGTTTTCTATGGAAAAAAAAACATAATGTCAACCTTTTGCGTGTATCGTTCATATTCTGGGTTCATCTGCTTGCTAGCTTACATACCCAGACAACAACATCATGTTGGCCCAGATCCAGGGCTCATACATGCATGGATTCCATGTGTACCAGATGTGGACCGGGTCTGGGCCAACACTGTTGCTGTCTGGGTAGCCGGAGGTATGTTTTATTAATAAGTTGAATAAGGCTTATTAATTAAGGCCAATGAAATTGGTTTAAAAAAATCACCATGAAAACCACAATTGACTATTCTTATTTTTTATATATATATTGCATATGATATATTGCAATGATTTATTCATTCCTACACATTTTTTTTTTCATTCATGTGCCCACGTAATATTTTTTATTATCAAAAAAGCTTGAAAGACTAAACAAAGACCATAACTACTGAATGGTATAACTGAAAAGAAGGCCTAATACATAATGTGTGTGTGTATGTTTTTCTATCCTGGTGGGGACTTAAACTTGAATGCACACAGGTCTCATGGGGACTCGTGTCACTCTGGGGACCTAAATTGATGGGTAAACACGGTTATAAATCATATAGCATGTTTTTTTTTTTTTTTTTGTTTTTTTGAAAACGTAAAAATGCAGAATGTTTCCTGTGATGGATAGGGACAGTGTAGGGGGATAGAATATACAGTTTGTACAGTATAACCATTATGTCTATGGAGAGTCCTTACAAAGATAGTAAACCAGATGTGTGTGTGGGTTCCACAGAGGAGAGTAAGTAAGCCAACTGTTAAATGACGACAGACTTTCGTTTTTGAGTGTACTATGCCATCAAAACTTTGTTGTGTCTCTCGGGTACCTTCTTGATGTTTCTCTTGCTCTAGTTTTAGCTCCAGGTTCTCTCGAGTTGTTTGTTTCACATGCACTTCATATTCTCCCTGTCTTTGCTCAAGGTCCCTTTCCTGCTCCTTTATCCGTTTACTTAGTTCACACACATGATGTGTATTCTCTTCTCTCAGCTGCTCCTGCTGCAGATACATTGAATTTAGCCTTCCTCCTCTCCATCATCATCTTTACCAACATTAGGGTCACCAGTCACCACTTACCAGCTTTATCAGTTTTTGCTTCTTATCTTCTAGTTGGCACATTTCATCATTATAATCATGGATTTCTTTCTTTTTAACCTGAATTCTATTATAAATAAATATAGACT